TTTGTGTGAATCGACAAAAACTCACATCATAACAACAGATTTGCTTGGACAGAAAGAGGGTCTGCATCACTGCCATCAGAAAGGTTACTGATATGACACTACATGTGATCTGCCTGGTGAAGGCTATTTAGGGCAGGCATAAATTGGTAGAAATCACATCTTAATGTCAGGCTCATTAATTTAATTGTAATTACTGTATTTTGTGGGACAAAAAAAGGACTCCAATATTTGTGGCCTGTACTGGATATGAACTGAGCGTATGTCTGTTTTTTAGGTATCTTTAAGCCAATGTGGAGTCTGATCTTACAAAAAGACTTTTATTTTGGACTCTGTGTGCTGCCTTAGGGTTAGGAATGTGGTGCTCTTGTTGGGGGGAAGTGAGCTCCAAGAGTAGCTTTTTTTCATCTCTTAGTGATCTTCTGTTTATCAGTTGAATGCCACAGATTCCCTTTTAAACTTATTTTGCTTTAAAAAAAAAAAAAGAAAATTTAACTTAAAATATTTTAGCATTAGTTGCACAAAATGTTTGGATAAAATTCTAGTTTTTATAAGTCTTTTTATATATTTAGCCTGTCACAACAGTGCTCAAGATTATATTGAAGTTTTTCTGCATTATACAACCCTAAAACACAGAGATCTCACTGACCCGCTGCCGTGTAACCACACTCTTTCCTTCTTTTGCCTAATACAGCTCAGCTAAGTCCTTCCATAAGATGCTAAATCACCTTCATCATCACATAATTGTCTTCATAAACCGAGGACTATTAAGTGTATTAAAATAAAACAGTGGGGTTTAGTACTCCAAATGAACTCTCTAGAAAAAAAAAACCTAATCTTGGCATCCTATCACTATGTGATATTTTGTACATCTTACTGTATTTACAAGTTTATTTATCAAGGATTATCCATCTTGCTAATAGCCTATTATTTATTTCACTTTTTGTTGGTCTTTATATCCTTTTATTAATGTGCTAAAGGAACCTGTATATCTATTTTGGAACTCTTTGAATAGTCTAAAATAGACTAAAAATGGAATATTTTATAGTTTGAGTTACAAACCAAGGTGATTCTCCCCAGATACATATCTTGGTTTACCATGATTCCAAACAAAACTCTGTTGTTTAAAAATATTTGGAGTAAAATTTTATTTGCATTACAAATAGGATACAAAAATAGTCGAATCAGGATACAGAAATCTGCTGTGTTTGGACTAGTCATCCCTGTTTTATTTTTTCAGATGTGCTTAATTTTATGGTGTAACTAAAGATTTTGTTTGTGTAATGCATGATTAAGACAATAAAGTATTTTTTCTAGTCTTCCAAAAAACTTTTCTGATCAGTTTGCGAGTTTTGATGAGTTTTGTAAGGTTTTTGTTTTACAAACTATGAATCAGCAAATTTTTAAGATTGTACCACATAGCAAACGTACAGCTGTTGAAAAATAATGTATATAAAATGCATATAATAAATATTAAATTGTGTTACCTGTAAGTTACTGTTGGCTACATTATTTTGTGTTGAATAATAAAGTGCAATACTTTACTCTCCATCATTAAAGTAGGAAATGGAGATGATTTCTCAGTGAGTCCTTCATTTTTATGCTGTTCTTTTTAACTTTGTACTGTTTGTTGATATTCTAATAAGATTAGAACAGTTAACACTTTTCAGAATGCCTTTCTAAGTATTTCACGCCATTTGGGGATAAAAAAATCTTCTACTGAAATAAGTTAGATAATTCAAAATAACCAAAAAATGCAGAGATGCAGTTTTAAATCATTTCTTTAGACATCTTATTACTTTATTAAATCTAAATTTCAGTTAATAGTGTTGTCGTTCCTGTATAGTCATACCTGTTCTCACAACAAAGTTCAGCAGAGAATAAACTGCATTATTTATTAATAAAAAGTCCTTATAAATAATGTTAAATATTAATATCTTGAAACTTTTTCCTTCAACAAGGTAATATCCTTTTTCTTTGAAGGAAATTGGAAATGGAATTGGAAGGTAACATTAGAAAACTTATGTGGCAAAATTTTGTTTGAATGCCTGCTGCAAAAAAAAATTACATTGTGTGTACAGTGAGAAATTTGATCTACCATAAAAATCCAAGTGCCAATTTTAGTCATTGCTGGTGAAACACTGAGTTTTCAGAAATTTTCTTAAAATACTAGTTTTTTGCCTTTTTGAAATGAAGATTCAACTTAATAAATTAAAAGGGCACTTTTCTCCTCCTCCTCTTTTTTTTTTTTTTTTTTTTGGTTGAAATAATTTAAGAACAAGCTTTTCCAAAGCTAGTGTTGTTTCTGGCAGCTATTCCAAACCAATGCATTTAGTGTTTAACTGAAATGTGATTACCATTATTGCAATGCATAAACATTCACCGCTTTTGGAATGTATTAAAACTGAAATGAATAAAAATTAGTATATATGTTTATTTTTCTCTTATCTACTTTGGTTGTATTTTTCTCTACAATATTAAATATTTGGAAGAGACTAAATGGATGCAGAAAGAATGTCTTATTTTCATTTTATTTATGTGCTTCCATTTGTGACTTATGGGAAATTACAAAGATTCTTTGACTATTCTGTGGTGCTTTATAAAAGTTTAAGAATTTTTTATATACCAACTTTAATATGTACTTTTCTCATATTTCAGATTTTTTAAGTTATCCACTGAAGACTAACATCTCATTTAACGTGTTAAGTTGTAAATGGGCTAGCATATTTGAAATTTAGAGGTGCCTGCTAAAATGGATTATAATATATCATTTTGAAAATTCTCTTTACTCGCTACTTTTCATTTGTTAACCCTTTATTATGTTTACTTATAAAAAATAATTGATAGTAACTTAATAAAGTGCTCATTTCTGCTCTCTTGCTGATCTTTAAGTCAAAGTAGCTTCCCTGATTACTTCAGGTGCCTCAAAACTTTGTTCTTTATGAAGTTAGAGAAAAAGCATTTTTAAAAGGGCTAAAGACTATAGGCTTGGTTTTCATTTAAGATAAATTTTTTTTTTTCTTTTTTGAGGAAGATGGGCCCTGCACTAACATCTTTTGCCAATCTTCCTCTTTTTCTTTTTTCTCCCCAAAGCCCCAGTACATAGTTGTGTATCATAGTTGTAGAGTTGTAGCTCTTCTATATGGGACACCACCTCAGCATGGCTTGATGAGCGGTGAGTAGGTCTGTGCCCAGGATCTGAACTGGCGAACCCCAGGCCAGCGAAGCAGAATGCATGAACTTAACTGCTACGCTACCAGACTCGCCCCTAAGTTTAATTTTTTAGAGTGGTGCTCTCGACAGAATTTGTGGTCTGTTTACTGGGGAGAAATCATGGTGTTAAACTCATTTTTGTTGTTTATAAAAATTCTTGTTACATGAATTGATTATATTTGCAAGCTTTTAATAAAGGGGGAGTGGTTTATTGTCTTCCCATAACTCCACTTTATCAAATTTTTATGTAGTGTCAAAGGCAATTTCAGTTCTTCCTCTCTGCTACATAATCCTTTCATTCCCTTTACACAAGCTGCAAAATTGTTAGACCCAGAAGATTTAGTGGAGTATCTATATTATTCCAACCAGTTAACACCTTTTTCAGGCCAGCTGGTTGTAGACCATTTCAGATAGGATCAGTGTATATGTAAAGAGAGACAGGGTGGCAAGTGGATGCGGGAGGACAGGTGCTGTCTTTAGAGAAGGTAGGCAGGAAGGGATGACAGAACACCTCTGAGGGGAGAGTTCTTGGTGAGGTAATGATAATTACATTAAGGGAGTTCTGATCGCTTTTCTTAGGAACCAACTTCACAAGCGTAAGTAAAAATAATGTTAATTACAAAATATTTTTGTTGAACCATGTAAACCAAAACATCTTATACTGTTTAACCTGGTAGTGGCTGTGTGTAATGCCTACAACAGTAGACACTCATAAATAATTGAATGAAAGAGAAAATGAACATACTTAGTCTTACTGCATGATTTTAAGAAAAAAATTCAGATTGGTCTTATTGCATGATTTTAAGAAAAATTCAGATTGGTCTTTTCACATGAATTAGTGAGTGTAGAATTTCTGCCATGTCCTAGGGCAAGACACTTGGAATAATAAAAGTAAGGCAGCTTAGAATAATAGTCACTAGCAGTTTTATTGCTTAAAGAGTCAAACTACAGTATTTTTTTCTGAAGTTCTGCTATTTGCAATGTGCTTTTCTTTAAAGCTAAATGTTTATAAGTGGTAAGTAAAAATTTACCAACAACACTTTTTTCAGTACATGGATGACTGCTTTAGAGTACAAGCCAAATGTATCTATACACATATAAAATTATTTTATTTTTTTTCCCGCAAAGCCCCAGTAGATAGTTGTATGTCATAGCTGCACATCCTTCTAGTTGCTGTATGTGGGACGCAGCCTCAGCATGGCCGGAGAAGCAGTGCATCGGTGCACGCCCGGGATCCAAACCCGGGCCCCCAGCAGCGGAGCGCACACACTTAACCACTAAGCCATGGGGCCGGCCCAACACATATAAAATTGATATAGAAAAATACCAAGCAATCCTGCTGTCTTGTTCAGTGTGATATTTCACTTATAAGTTATTACGAAAATATACTACAAAAGAAGCTTGATACCTAATTCCGTTCCATTTCTTCTATAATTATTAATAACTATTGTTGGTTTTAAGACAACATCTACTTGGGTCAAAATATTTATATTTTGGGGCTGGCCCGGTGGCATAGCAGTTAAGTGCACACGCTCCTGCTTTGGTGGCCGAGGTTCATGGATTAAGATCAGGATCTTAATCCTGCGCTGGCGTGGACCAATGCACTGCTTGTCAGGCCATGCTGTGGCGGCGTCCCATATAAAGTGGAGGAAGATGGGCACGGATGTTAGCCCAGGGCCAGTCTTCCTCACACACAAAAATTATATTTGAACAAAGAGCTGTTTTCTATTTGTTTCTCTTTCGTTTTCCTTATATATTTAATACAGAATGATTAGAGAAGGAATGTTGCTTTTTGGTCTAAGTATCAGATTCTTTTATTGAGCTATGGAATTTGCATGTCTATACATTTAATACTCATGTTAGAACAGAACTTGTAAGATTTTAATCCATGATATTTCCTCTTTCCTGAGTATCTAAGGGTCATGATTATGAAGCCTCAGCAGAGTGTTTGGAACAATTAAGTCTAAGTCGTAATTAGAAGGTAGTAGCTTTAAATGAATGCTTATTTGCTTAAAACAGTTGCCATCTTTAATATAACAGTTGTGTATCTGATCCTAGTATGTTATATAGTATTTCAGTATTATGAGAATATAACTTATACATTATATCCCATTGCACTTTTTCTTTCAGTTGTCAAAACATGACTGACCATTATTGCTGGGATTCTAAGAAATCTCTACAAATTCCTCTGATGACGTCGGAAACAATTGGTTCTAATCCTGTGAACTCTCTTGTGAAGAAAGCATGCGACTCCTTTGGTTTAGAGGCCATATCTTTCAGGTCATCCAGAGGTGCCCAAGCCACACCAACAGAGAAGATGGTGATACCTACAATGGAAACATTACGTGAATTAAAGCGAAGTTCCATCTATAAAATTAACGTGTGTACCTTTTTCATACATTAGTACACAGTTGAGAAAACTGCCTGGTAATGTCTGAAGAACTAAATCCCCTGTACCAAATTGTTAGGTAGGTTTTAATAGTCATGATGAGAATGGCTAAGCAGTTTGGTGTAAACCAGAAGCTTTGCCATCAGTGTAATTTACCACATTAACAGATAAATCATATGATCTTACATAGTAAAAAAGTTTGATAAGGTTCAATATCCATCATGATAGAACATAGTAAGCTAGAAATAGAAGGAAACTTTAATCTGACAAAAAACCTAAAAATATATATATCAATCAAAATCCTACAGCAAACATACTTAGTGAGATGGTAAAAACATGCCCTCTGAGACTGGCATGAGAAAGGACTACCTGCTGTCATTACTTTGATTAGTCATTATACTGGAGTCACAGCCAGGACAATGTAAATGGAAGTTTTCTAAGGCTGCATTGTCTGGAGGAATGGTGACTAGTCCTCTGTGAATAATGTAACTGTTTCTTCCATTTCAATCTTTACATGTTACAGTGGCACATGTTACAGTGGCACACCAATAGTCAGAAATTGTCAGTCTTTAATCCCAAAGCAGAAATCTTCTGGTGATAAAAACAGCCAAAGAGAAATATCTATGAAGGTGGAATTTCTTCCAGTTACATGAGGCATTCTGTCTGCAATCCCTTGAGCTACTAGAAGATTTTCACTCCAACTGTACATTTTGGTTAGGGTGATATTACGTCAGTTTGATTCACCTCATTCCCAATTGTAGAAGTTGTGGTTTAGCAGATTCTTAGTGAAGACTACCATCTATCTTCTGGGTGAAATTCCCCATAACGTTTTGAGAGTTTCTGAAATAGTCCCCTCCTATTCAAGGCTTCTAGTGGTATACAGTGCTCAGAGTTGTGGATACTTAAGATACAAACAGGTTTATTTGTAAATAAGCAGGTTTATGATGTAAAAGCTACTTGAAACAATTGCTGATTTATCACCATCAGCCAATCCTCCTCTCTCCCTGGCAAAAGAGAAAAAGTAGATTTTCCTTCCCTTAAATTTTTCTCACTTTTCGTTCTGCATTCAAGCTCAGATTATTTAGCTCAGGCCCAGTATATAAAATACAGTTAAAAAAAAAAAAAATGGTGACGTAGCCCTGAAAGCCGACCCTATTTCTTGGCTTTTGTTAACTTTCAGTTTACTATCACGAAAGGATAACTTTCACGAAAATAGTGTGGCCCAACCTCCTGGGGAAGTTCAATTAATCACACAGGGAAAATATATTTGAATTAATCTGGTTCACTTTATTTAGCCTGAATCCAATCCTGTTAACCATAAATTAGTTCAGTAAGCTCTGTTTTTAAGGAGTATGATAGCCAACAGGTCTTCAACGTAGATTAGTAGCTGATGTATAAAATAAGCCAGGTGTATCAAAATAAGCCAATGTATAGTAGCTTGAATTGCATGTATCAGTTCTCTGTACTAAATAAAAAGTAGTTTTATTTATAATTACTACGTAATAAAAATCTATAAAAGTACATAAACGCATTAGCAGAGGTGCTAATAAATGTACAAAAGGAAAAAGGTTAAATCATTAGGAATTAAATAGAGAAAAGTACAGAAGAGTGTAGAAAAATGCAAGGCTGCTAATTCCCCCCTCCCCAAGTTAGCATTTTTGTTTCTTTAAATATTATCAGACTCCAGTCACTCAGTTTTTATCCCAGGAAAGGGAACCTCAGCTTTACGTTGGCCTATTTGATCTCAGCAACGCATTATGCTAATGTCCTCAGGAACTAGTGGCCTTTGTCAAAAGTAATATTAAGGTTGGGATAAGGGTGGGGGCCGGCCCCGTGGCGCAAGAGGTTAAGTGCACACGCTCCACTTAAGCGGCCCGGGGTTCACAGGTTCGGATCCTCGGCGCGGACGGACACACCGCTTGGTAAGCCATGCTGTGGTGGCGTCCCATATAAAGTAGAAGAAGATGGGCATGGATGTTAGCTCAGGGCCACTCTTCCTCAGGAAAAAAAAAAAAAAAAGGAGGATTGGCATCAGATGTTAGTTCAGAGCTAGTCCTCCTCAAAAAAAAAAAAAAAAAAGGTTGGGATAACGGAGAAAGAAAACCTTTTCATGTGTGTTCATTATCTCAAGAAAAAGACACCAGAAAGGAAGTTTAGATGGAATGGGATTAAAGTCTTTATGGGTGACCTTATCATCTAGAAAACTCATGCCAGACTGAAAACTACTAAAAAAGAGTTATGATAAATTATCAAATAGAGTCATAGTAAGTTATTATAAACTGTGATTTGGGGGGGAATATATTCCAAGTTTGAGCCAAATGTGAGCACCTGTAACATATTTCTTTGACATATGACATGGTTCTCATGGCAATTACAACAATACAGTGGTTAGGAGTGTGGACTCAGCCAGACTGCTTGGGTTTGAATATTGGCCTCACCACTTACTAGCTGTGTGATTTTGAGGAAGTTTCTTATTTGTAGAATGAGATTAGTAGGGCTGCTTTGACAATTAAATCAGTTATATTGGGTAAAGCTCTTAAGAACAACGACTGCCACACTGTAGGTGTTTGTTCGATAAAATAAATGCGTAAGTTTATATTTACTCCTAAAATTCACTGAACCCCTCTTCAGTTCCCTTCCCAGTCAAAGGACGAGGACCTTACCTGCATCATGCGCAGCAGCGGCAGGGCCTCGAACATCATCATAGGACTGCCCATCTGTGACAATTACCAGGAAGTTCTTGTTGGGGCTGTCCCTCATGGGACCAAACACATTTCTAACAGTAAAGGAAATGGCATCACCAGTAGCTGTTCCACCACTCATATAGCGGATGTTTCTGATAACGGCTAGGACATTTTCTTTGGTGCTATAGTCAGTGAAACTGAATTCTGTGCGCTGATCATAGGTGAACTGTACAGCAGCTATCTTGGCACCAATGTCTGAGATTTCAAAAGTCTTGGCTATGTTGGAAACAAATTCAAGCATGAGGCGGAAATTACTGTCCCCAACACTGCTGGAGCCATCAATTAGAAAGGCAATGTTCACTGAGTTATAACAGGTCTTGCTGCACATCATTTGCTCGTGAGTGCAGAGCTTCTGGACCAGAGGCTTTACATATTTTGTGGTGCCAAACCAGTTGGGCATGTGGTAAGAGAAGAAGCCATTATTCCGACAGACAGCCTAATGGAGGAGACACATAAAAGATATCCAAAGGGATCAAAAGTTGTTTCTTAAAAACTATGAAAACATTAAATCTTGAATGTTCAAAGTTAATCCAGGTATGGGACAGTCGGCACCACACCTCGAGGTCCAAGACTGAATCACTACCATAACAGAAGACACCCTTCACCTCCTTACCTTGTCAACAAATGCAACATCCTGAACCATCCCCAGTTCTTCAGGGATAGGCTTAGCCACAGAAACTATGAATACATTGACACCAAACTCTCTGGCCACAATGCCTGCTTCCTCAATATCATCAGAAGGCCAGCCATCAATAAATACCACCACCACTTTGGGGATCCCTTTTCTCACTCCAGTCTCTGCTGTGAAGAATTTCTGGGCAGTGTGCTTCAAGGCTTTTCCTAGGTTTGGAAAAGAAGCAAAATGGAACAGCACAACTTCTCAAATGACATTTCTATTTCCCTGTACCAATTTGATGCCACCAACTTTAAGAACTCAGTTCTATAGTAGATGGATCAGATAGGAAAGTTGAATTATCCATCAGGCCTATTTTTTGTCATCACCACCCACACTGCTTCCCCCATCACCTCTCAGAAGCCTCACACCTTTTTTCCTACATCAATCACCAGTGAGAAACACAAAACTGACTCCTACTCCTGTACTTTGCTCTCTATCTAGCCCTTTAGTGACTGATGAGTTCCTTTAAGGACTCAGAGCAAGAAGTCTCCCTTCAGAGGGTCCAAAATAAGGATTATAAATCACAATGATTTATATTTTTAAAAAATAAGCAACACCAATTAACCCTTTGGTATATTTTCCATTATAAATTGAATATCTCAGATAATCAAGTGCAGACCTAGCTAAGATTTCAGTGCCTGGAGGAAGTGTGTCACATCTTCTTCTATAAAAATAGCATAATGCTGTTTTACATGTCTGGTCATTCATAACCCTCTCCTGTGTTACCTGCCAGGTGCCAGAGTCTACTTACCTGTATTGGAGTTACCCCCTCTGAAACCTACTTCCTTTATGGCAAACAAAACATCTTTGGCTGATGTAAAGTTTTTCAAGTAAAATTCTATTTTGGGATGTTCACTAAGTGGAAAAATGAAAAAATGTTATCCAGGGAGAATTGGAAAGGTAAAAACAAATAAGCAACATTATATACCTTAAAAAAAAGTCTTTAAATTGGACAATGCCCAAGTTTCTTTCTTATTCCCACAGTATACAGTCAACTAAGGCATTGCATCCTTACTTGAATTTTTAGGGATCTTTCAGAAATGTAACAAAAACAATTGCTACCTTGAGCATTTGTTATATTGTGGGTAATATGCTAAATACACATTACATGTATAATTTCATTTCATCATAACTGTACAAGGTAGAAATTATCTCTATTATATAAATGAAGGAAAAGGCTCAGAGCATTCAGGTAATTTGCCCAACGAAACACAGTCACATTGTAAATTCAGGTTTATCTGGCGCCAAAGTCCATGCCTAAACCATATGAAGCACCTGAAACCAGGCTTGGCTCGGGGCACTGGGCTTAGGGGAAGTCTGCAGAGCTGGGCGCTGGGAAGCTGGAAGGCGGCTGGGTGTGAGGCTCGGTCTGCTCCAGTGGGGACTCTGGAAGCACCGAACATTCTGGGTCTATTGACCCAGGTCTCTGAAGAGGCAATTTCAATGGCACTAAGGCCAACATTTTAAAAATGAGAAAAGTTATAAGGAAACGAATTATAAAGTATTGCAATATTGAATTTTTCTTATAATGATATTGACACTTGCCAATCTTAAAATTATGTATCTTGTAAGAGATTTGGGATTTTCCACATTTAGTAGTAAAAGAATTTCAGCTCACTCTTATAACTACTCTGTGTTCATTAGAGACCATGTTGAGTAAAAACAGTTAAAGCACAATTTGTTGTTTTTAGATATGTCAATACTTTATAAGTACAAAATTTTAAGATCTTAGCATTATCAATTGCCATTAAGTCAAGATTTTTGAGGGACAAGTATAGCACTGACTGTATTTCTGCATACCTGGTGGTATGATTGGACAATTTCTGTATACCTGGTGGAATGATGGGTCACAAAATCAGATTTCATAGGGTGATAGTCTTTTCACTTTTATAATCACTTTTCAACTAATCAAATTATGATTTATGAGATTTAGTCTTATTTTTGCATCCTTAATGACATATTCTGTTATTCTGCTGAAATATAAACTCTTGATACAGTTTTTCTATTCTAATGTTTTTCCTAAAATAGAAAAACTATAAACCAGGAAATTTATAGAGAAGCTAGTCTTTGTATGAACCTATAAGGTAGTATAGCTTTGAAAAAGAATTGGGTAAAAATAGCAAAGAAAAAATATAAGAAGAAAAGTACTGAAGGGAATTTGCCCTATGGGATGTTAAAATGTACAATAAAGCTACAATAATCAAAGCATTATATTAAAGATGTAAGAATTAGTATATGGATCAAAGAAACAGACTTGCCAAAACTTGCATATAAAATTGATATCACAGATCATTGGAATAAGAAGATCATTTGTTTTAAAGGTGTGGGACAAATGATTAAATTATGTAGAAACCCACAAAGTTAAATTCTCACACCAAAAAAATTTTATCTAAATTAAGAACCAATTGTAAAAAATAACATAAGAACAAATGAAATATAAATTAATATTTGTAATAGTAGTAGGGACACCTTTACACATTGCTGATGGTAGTTTAAACTGGGTGAACTTTCTAGAAAGCAATTTAACTGTTTATATCAGAAGCCTTAAAGACATCAGAACCCTTTGACCCAATCTTGCTTCTAGGAATCTAGCCTAATGAACTAATCAAAGATGGCACAAGGATGACATAACAATGTTCATCACAGTGCAATGCGTAATGGTGAAAAAGCAATAGAATAATCATGCAAAGGAAGATTATGAAACATTTTTTGAAGAATATTTGTGATATGGTAAAATGCTCAAAATACTAAGGGGTGAAAACACATGGCATTTAAGTCGGAGCTTTTGAAAAAGAAATACACGTATGTACAATCAAATATTTTCTTAAAATACTGAAAGGAAATAAAACATTTTACAATGATGATCTCTGGGAGGTATATTTGGGAAATTTGTTTTCTTTGTGCTTTATATGTTTTTCAAGCTTTCTGTAGTGAGCATATTATAATCCTAAAAGCCATCAGTGAATATTATTCTCAAATGAATACAATAAGAAGGTTGAGCTTCAGGTCTCCGATCAAAGGAATATGGAGAGAGCTAAAAAGAAGAACAGTACAGGCAGGAGGAATGGATGCGTCACTACTTCTTCCCTCTGTGGAGAGAACTTAGGAATTGAGCAGAGTAGATGTGCAGAGGTCATCGGTATGAGCAACAAGACATTTTAGTCTACCTCTGGTCCTCAAATAGCATATAATTCTCTACATCTTTTTATTCCCAAAAGGAAGCAATTAGACCTACCTAGTCTGTTCAGGCAGGCTTAAATCCTGACTTTACAGTTTGGAAATCTAGACTGTCCACAACTCAATATGTTTATAGTGAACTGAAATAAATGTACCTACTAAAATGATTGATCATTTGTCGTCATTCAAGACATCAGTCAAGTCTCCTCCCACTTTTACAAAGTTGGTACCTGGCTTGAACTAGGCCCACGTGTGGTCCTTCTGTTCCAATTCCCAACATTAGAGCCACCTTCCCAACGAAATTCTTCTGTAGATTAAATCGGCGCTGCCCAATATTAAAACTGCCATCGATCAGAAATGCAATGTCTGCTTTGCAGTCTGTGAACACCCAAACAAGTCTTTTCGTTAGCAGTTTCAAGAGGAGGGAGGGAACAAGAGAGAATGTTATTCTCTCAATGGATATCTGGACTCTTACCTTTATTGCCAGCTTTCTTATTGGGTGTTTTCTTTAGTCGTTTACCTGAAGCAAAGGAAGCACCTGGCATTGGCAAAAGGAAGACAGTTCCATAGCAAGAAGCCCAGATAGGGAAAAGTTCATGACAAGGAGTGTCCTTCTTGAAAACACTTTTTTAAAAAAAAATTAATTTCCTCATGATTTTCTGGAGTGGGAAGTAATGCCCTAACAAAGAAACAAGTCAGGACTGAAGTAGGCCTACATATTTGATATGCCTCCAATCTAGGACTTTGCTATCACAAACTCACAGTTGAGGCAAGATTGGAAACTCAGAGTTAGATTCTAACGTTCTTAATTTCTTTGACTTTAAAGTTGCCACAGTCTTGGAAAAGGAGATCCCTGGCTATTTCTTAAAATATACACACACTAATTCCTTTTATTCACATGACAAATGGAACTAGGAAATTCATGGTACTTTTACTTTGACCCGTTTCTAGGTGTGGTTTATCAAATCAGGGAGAAATGGTAGGACTTCAAGAGAATATTTGGCAGCAGAGTTTATAATTGAAAACAGAAGAAGAATAAGGAATCTGAATAATAAAATTGAAATATAAAATTCCCTATGTAATATACCAGTACACTTAAGATATTTGCTTTGTGTTTAACATCGATTTTTTTAAAAGGAAAGTTTCTATCAACAACACATTCATTCATAACTTCCAAATGCTGTGCCAGGCAACTAGGAGATGATAGGTTCCATATTTCATACCTGTTGGTGGACGTGCTGTGGACACTGCTTGTCCTGTGGCTTCCTGGGTACCACTTTTGCCTTCTGTTAAAATACAGAGAAGACTATGTTTTCCTCTTCCTTATTTTCCATCAAAGCATAATGAATCTAATTTGGAGTTCTTTAGGATGATAAATGTATTAGAATAGTGGCAATTGCAGGAGTAATTGCTGCATGCTAGTTTCAAAGAACCAAAATGGATTCTTATCTATTATATCATATTTTAAAAGGATCACCAAAAATGAATTCACATTCATTCACTAGTGTTTTGATTTAGTGTTGCTTGGTAAATGTCAGATCATTCTGACTGCAGACAATTCAAGTGTCTATTGCCATCTTCCGGCAGCAAGATTATTCTTCCCCCATTCACCCATTTGACTGGAGTAGGTCCTTGACTCTTCGGGTCCCCTGACTCTAATCCACAGTTGACCCCTTCAGTCTTGGTCACAGGTTTTTCCATCAGAGTCAAAGAGATTCAGCTGAGAAAAGCAGAAAACTTTTTTTTTTTGGGGGGGAGCATAGTATTTACACAAAAGTAAGAACAATGTAATTGTACCTACTTGTCACTGTGAAAGAAGCAGACCATCTGGAAAGCGTCTGAGACTGGATGCCATTTGCAACTACTGAGGAATAGTTTTCTCGACCTGGGAGGCTATAGATTCGCACAGGTCCCCCTGAGTTGCTGATTACTCCCCTGCAACACAAGAATAACAGCTGAGATTCTATCCACACTTTTCCAGGGGGATCCAACTGACTTAAAGTGCCATGTTGCATCTATTGCTCTGATTAATCAAGAAAATCGTTCAGCAGGGAACTATCTAAGGATGCTGCCAGCCTTTTTAAAAACTTGCTTACACAGGTACAAAATCTGCCTGAGGAAATGGTTTTGTGCTGTCAAACTTCTTAAGTGTTGATAAGAACACACTTGTAGTATCGTGTTCCCTATAGCTCAGAGACTCAGAGTTAAGAGCACCAATTTTCTTAGTTTTCTAAGATAATTTAACTACATGTCCTTGGTCTTCATTTTTTTAAAAAGCGTCATAATAGCGATTCTCTTGCAGGATAGCAGAGTGGTGATGCATGTGGGCTCTGGAGGCAGACCTCGGCTTTCAGTCCTGGCTCCGGCACCTGCTAACAACGGTGACTGCGGGAGGGATACTTGACAACTCTCTCAGCTCAGTTTCCTCATCTGAAAATGGAGTCAAATTGTACCTACCTTGTACAGTTGTCACGTAGTAAAAACTCAGTAATATCTTACAGGATTAGAAATGGTTTAGAATCACAGGAGTCTAGCTAACAAGAAATAATGCAATTTGCCTTTAGTCAGAAAGCTTCCCTTGTGTAGCTGGTGTTTCAATGATAGCCAGGAAAGCCTTAAAAATGTATGCATCTTCTAAGGTCAAAATTGGCACCAAAACAAAGAAATGGTATGTGTGTGCAGGGTCCAGACAGCTAAAGAGGGACAGGAAATCAAGGCACTTGCGTTTCTCTCCCCTTGGCATGTCTGGGCTTACCTGTGGATGGCGGCGCCACATATGCTCGATACAGAAGCATACACGATGTTCCCAAACACGGAGAATTCCTCAAGAGGGCAGTCCCCTGGGCAGAGGACGTCTGCTTTCTCTCTCCTGATGTCCAGGCCTCTGGTAAAGCACGTGATGGTGATGGGAACTGAGGAGAAAGGAGGGAATGTAATAACCGTTCTTAGGACTTTTAGAAGGGTAGGGAGAGGGGGAGCTAGGATGAGATTGAAGATTTACTTCTCTAATTTCTACACTCCTTGTTAAGAATATTGACTTATGTACCATTCCACACCATTCTAGATTTTAGCAAGCCAAAAATCACGTTTCCAATTTAATCTAACCTTCAGCCACTATAAAGTCTAGTTGGGAGAATTTTCTCAGTTCTCAAACTGATAAGTTTGGAAATACATAATTGGAACTATATCAGACTAGAAAATAACATTAGTCATTGGCAATTTATTAATTCATTCTAGAAATATAAAAACCTCAATTCTGATGACAACTGTGTACATAGTTGCCTGAGGAGAAGATATTAAATCTGGGTTGAACCTGTGAGGAACATTTTCATAGACACATGCACAAACCACTCTAAGTCATCTTTTGCTTCAGAGGACCATTTATACCAGTTTTCCTCCAAAGGCAGTGCCTTAAAATTATATCTTAATGTAAGCAAACCAGTAAAAAGATGCTTCACTTCACAGAACGTCATTTAGCTCAATCACTCATTTTATAGTTGAAGAAATTAAAGCCATGGGGTTAATTTGCTCAAGGTCACACAACTCAAGGACCGTTCAGCAACTCCTGCAGGACAGGAAACAGGGAGGCTAGTCCCTTCAGAATGGAGCATTTTTATCTGATTATTTCTGCTCCAGATCTGTCCAGAGAGATATATCAGGCAGTGAATGCATTTTTAGAAAGCACTGTTAACACTCAAGTTTTACACAGTCAATCCCACTACTAAAGAATCAAAGATTTCACTACAAAAGATGTTAGGTAGAGACAAGCCCTTGGTAACGCGTAACAAGATAACATAAAACATGTCAATTCGTCAATTTACTGTGAATATTAAATCAAGAATAATGTTATTAAACACTACTTTCCAAATACAGAAAATTGTGGTTATCTAAACCTTTTTGAAACAGAGGTTAATAATAACAATAATAAACTTTTCCCCAAGACAGAGTAATACTGTCTGGTTGTATTGCCCAGTTGAGCAGCCTGCCTCTGACAAGGACCCTCCTCCAGGAGCTCTCTGTGTGAGCTGTACCCTGGACTGTACACCTCCATGAAAGGGAAGGCAGGATGCCAGGTACCACCCGGATTCCTTAGCTCTGATTGCTAAGGAAGTTAAAATCCTTACCAAAAACAGTAGCCTCATACCTATGGGCCTCATCCCTATTATCAAACATCCTTAATTCTTCCTCCCATTTGCGGTGGCATCAGAGACTCTGCTTTTAGCTAATAACAGACTGTGTGTGTGTGTGTGTGTGTGTGTGTGTGTGTGTGTGTGTGTGTGTGTTGGGGGGTGGGGGAGGGCTGAACACAGCCCGGTGCAATACTTACCCTCATTTCTCCTTTCAAGGAAAACAAAGGATAGATTTTGGAAAAGAGTTTGCCTTTTATATTGTAGAAAAAACACCAAACCACACACCCATACTCAGGCTTTTACATGTGGAACAAACTCTTTTTAGACTCTATCGAATATGAAATGGGCCCACAAATGCTGCTTTTTATAGGGGTCACTCCTAGAAACACAGCCAGGGGGTCACACAAGGTGGGACCACGACATCAGCCTGTCTCTCTGTCTCTCCGTCAGCTCTGACAGCCTGAAGTCCCATCTGGGGGGCTTCTCCTCGAGCTCAAACGCAGGGAACACCCGGGACTAGTGTGCCCCTCGGTGGGACTCAACGAATACACCTGCCTCCACCTTCCGCTGCCCCTGCTCGGCCTGCCGGGGAGCTCGGGGGATGTGGGTGTGGATGGGGGGAGGCTTCCTTCTCCGCGCCGTTGGAAGAATGTCCCCCATGGGACCCCAGGACCCCCCTCGCGTAGGAGAAGTGGGTAAGCCGGAGCAGACGTGGGCTGTAGCTATGAAGGGGGGTGCTCCAGGCAGCCGCCCCAACCTCCGCGCCCTCCGGCTCCGGGGCCCGGGCCGAGGTCCAGCGGCTCGGTCTGAGCGCGCTCCTACCTGCTGGCCCTCCGCCCCTCCCACCGCCTGGACCGAGCACTGCTTCCCGGGCCGGGAACCCGCAACTCACCGGCTCCCTCGCTGCCCGCGGGCTCCGGCAGCAGCAGACAGACACCTGCGGAGAGAGGACAGCGCGAGGGCTGGCTCCAGCTCCCCCCGGCTCTGCGCCAGGGAAGGGGGCGGGGAGGGGCGCGTACCCACCGAGGCAGAGAACAGGGATCCAGGCTGCAGACATGGTAGTCGGGGGATGCTCGGACCTGGGAGAGAGGGAGAATGCGAGGGAGGCTCCGGGGAACGGGGGCCCCCACGTCCCCAGCACCCCGCGCCCGCCCGCTCCTGAGACCCCGCACTCCTCGGGAACCCAGGACCACCGAAGTGGGGGAGGAGACCGAAGAGGCCGCCGCCCCGGGGCTGGCGCCCCTCTCGACCTGCAGGGGACGCTCGGGCTGCAAATCGAGCCAAACCCAGAGTCGATGTGCAACCCGGGACCCGGGTGGAGGGTGCACTACGAAGACAGACAGGCAGGCTGGGAGCGACAAAGGAGAGACACGGACAGCAGGCGTCAGGGACCCGCACGCCCGCGCCGGACCCGGGCTCCGCACCTGAGTGGGACCCGCCCGGCTGCGCCCGAGTGCGGGGAGCGCGGCTCGCGCCGCTATAAAGGCCGGGCCCGCGCATGAGCACTGGCGGGGCCGCGGG